TCTCATGTGCTCTCTTTCTCATTCTCTCTCTCAAATAAATAAATAAAATCTTAAAAAAAAAAAAAAATTTGTACCTAGGCCCCAACTGCAGTAAATCTGGGTTCTGTGATCTATAACTTGCATGACTTTTCAATGTTTGTGTAGTATTTGTTAGCACATTTAACATAAATACTCTATAATCTACAAACCTGTTGTCTAGAGAATAATACATGGATTCTCAAATTATCAGGCATGATCTGGATGTGTGGTGTTCTGACTAATGAGTGTCTATGCCATACAATTTTCAAATAAGAATAATACAAATTATATTCAATATACTGTTTAATGTTATTTCAGAAGGTATATTAAACATCTTTAATTATATCACTATTATGAGCATCAACTATTTTTCTTTCAGATTCAGAAGTATTTGTTATTGCAGTTAACAAGCTTAGCAAATGTCTCTGTATCAGTATTCACATCTTATAAAATGATATATGCATTTTTCTCTTCACACATAGAAGAGTGTTAGCTGAGCATCTTCTGGGGCATGAATAAATGAGCTGCCTTCCTTCTTCATAATTCATTATTCCTTTTCTCTCCATTTTATGTCTTCCAACTTATGTCTTATATCTGAGTAAGGAAAAGACTAATCTGGCCTACCGATATCAATACAGGAAAAACACTAGGTTCTTTAACAGAATCTTGTGGCTACATGCCCTCCATCCTGGGTCTTGCCTCTTTTAGGGTTGAGATAGAATTTATGACAAGAATAACCCCAACTGATAACCATCTGTCCTACAATATCAAAAGTAGTGACTCCTCACTTTCAGATAAAGATTACAAAGTTCTCCTACCTTCTTAAAATCAGAAGAAACTGAGGTTAAATATCTCCAAACTAATTCAAGTTCTTCATAGAAATAGCTAACATTTACTGAGTGCATCCTATGCAAGATACCATCCAAGGTGCTTTACATATTTTATTCCCACATAACAAAGAAATTAAATAAATAAATCTAATTTTTCAAAAGCTAACAATACAAAGAGGCAAATCTTTAAAATGCAGGGAAAAAAAACTATTTATTCACAAATTACACGATAAACAAAAACCCAATACTCCAAACAACATACCAAAGGGTGAATGCTCACTTCTGTAGATGCCCAAGTATCTACCCTGAGAGAATATCCTTTATTAAATGAAATAAAATGTAATTAGTATTTGTTTTTTGGATTACTCTAAAACTAACCTCTCTAACCAGAGCTAACTTTCTGATGTAACTTTGGGGAAAATACAATACTCTGGAAAAAAAGAGGTAAGCATTCCACTAAAGGAAAAAATTTTTAAATCATCTCAGAGGGTGGGGGATGGGCTAGATGGGTGATGAGCATTAAGGAGGGCACTTGCAATGATGAGTACTGGGTGTTGTATGTAAGTGATGAATCACTGAATTCTACTCCTGAAACCAGTATTACACTGTATGTCAATTAACTAGAATTTAAATAAAAATTTAAAAAGGAAAAAAAAAATCATCTCAGAAAAATGTCGATCATTACTCACATGCTCCAACAGGTTAAGGTAAGATTCCTTAAAATAAAATAGCTTACTTTCATTTCTAACAAGGGTAAAATTAATTTTACAGCAATAATAGCTTCCTGAGTGTCAGAAGTAACAGTACCCAGTAGTCTATATAATTGTACTACAATATATGTAGTATAAAAATAATAATTCACATTAGCAATGACAGTTTTGATTTGTGAATACAACTGTGGCCTTTCAATGAAATATTTCTTTAAATATATCCTTCTCTACTCACATACTGTACCATAGTCACGTTTCAGTTTCTATGTATGTTGTGCCTAAATTATTCATTCACTGGCACTCATTAACATCCTTACTTTTTTATTTTTAGAAAGATATAATCTAGCTATTAAAATTGAAACTAATTTAATTGAGTAGTTGCAAAAAAGTTATCTAGAAAAGGACTTCCAAACCATTAGCTGGAAAGTTATAAGCAAAAGATAAGTTATTTTTAGAGTTTTTAAGCTTTTAAAAATAAGGAGAAGAAAATACTGCTTTTGACTGGGACAACACAGTAGTACAATTTGTTACGACACATCTATAAAAGCCATTCATTTTTTAAAAATGCACATCTGAAACATGACCTACCTGTGGAAAGGAACACTATCCACTTTAACAACTAAAAAAATAAAACCATCATTCTGACATTTATCAGTATTTTACATACCTAATACTGAAAGAGGCAACTACTATTTTCATAATAATCTTAAAGTCAAAATATAAGCACAAATCAGAATTCAGAGAAACTTCAAAAATGTTTAGAATGTACACACTTGCATGCATTTTCAGTCAAACTTTCAAAGATCCCACATATAACCAAATGACAACTTTGAATCAAAATGAATGTCAAAGATATTCAAGCTTTGTGACAGACTCTAATGCAACCGGAAAAACAGAAGAGTAAAGAGCAAGAGCAGTATATTTCTAAGGAGGGAAAGAAATCACCGACTTCCTTTATCATGAAACGAAAGTCAACAAGTCAGCATTTTAATAACACTGGCCATCAAGTGATTCACTAATAGAGAATTCACTTTTCAAGTTGTGTCTTTAAAATGCATTCACTTATATTTTTGGATTACATTAAGTTTATTAATCAAAAGCCACCGTACTCAGATTTCTAATCTTAAGAAGTTTAAATCATAACTTATCAAAGCATCCAAACACTGTACAGTAATTCTACCGTTTAGTTTTTGTATGTCTCATCTGCGAAACTCACTTTACAAACAGGAGTTTTGCTCTGTTTCTCCACAGTTAACGTCCCTATGCCTAAAATTTTAAGTGGCAATCAAAAAGACAGATTAAAGGATTCCCGCTACTTCATCGGGCTTTGATGAAAACAGAGCCATCTGGTGGTGCAGGACCATCTTCCTTCTCAGTGACCGTCTCTACAGTCCCAGAAGCCGACACAATAACCATCGTTTTACTTGCTGGAACCGTCTTCTGTTTCTCAGCAATCGCCGCACAAACAGCAACAATCTCATCACTTTCAAAGTCATAGTCAGGAATGGACTTTGGTGAGAAATGGGTTACTTCCACTGATGCTTCACGCTTTTTAATCTTCTGTGCTACCTTCTGCTGCTCCTGGAGTGTTCTTGCCCAAGAAAGGTCTTCTTTCCATATTTCAGGGTTCATTGGATAGATGTGAAGGGCGACCTGAAAACTTCGAATTGCCTAGGGGAGTTAAAAAAAAAAAAAAATCAAAGTTTTTTTTTTTGTTTGCTTTGTTTTAAAAAAATGAGTGGATTTAATATAATCCATAATATCTATCTCTATCTCTTTAAAATATATATATATATATATTTCTTTAAAACATATTAGAATGTAAGGATAGAAATTAGGGCTGTACCCTAAACGCTGGATGATGATTATGATGGGAAAAAAAAAAGTTAAAGAAGTGTGAAAGAAAGTGCCAGACAAATTGCTGCTGAGGACTCCAAGTCCATTAAAGTACAGGTAATGCTATTATAGTTCAAGACAAGGCAAATGCATTGTTCTGCTTCTGCAGGCCAGGAGATAGAAGAATCTAGGGATTTCTTGGCTAAAGCATGATCAGGAAGGTACCCGGAATGCCTACCTTTAACGCCAAGAGCTTAGATTCAAATAATGCTAACATATATTGACTGTCACAAGAGACAAAGAAGGACATTATAGAATGATAAAAGGGTCAATTCACCAGGGAGATATAATCATTATAAAATATATTCATTCCAACATCAGAACACCTATATGTATAAAGCAAACATGGACAGAACTGAAGTGAGAAACTGACAGAAATAAATAGCAGGAGACTGCAATACCTAACTTTCAGCAATGGATCCAACACCCAGACAGAAGATCACTAAGGGAACAGAGGACCTGAACAACACTACAGATCAAAGGGGCCTAACAGACATAGACAAAACATTCCTCTCAACAGCATCAGAGTACATACTATTCTCAAATACAAACAGAACATTTTCCAGGAGAAATCACATGTCAGGTCACAGAACAAGTCTTAACAAATTTAAGGTGACTGAAATCATACCAAGTATCTTTTCTAATGACAACGGAATAAAACCAGAAATCAATAACAGAAGAAAAACCAGGAAATTCACAAATAAGCAGAAACTAAACAACACAATCTTAAACAACCAATGAGTCAAAGAAGTCAAAAGGGAAATGAGAAAACATCTGGAGACAAACAAGAATGAACATATAACATACTAAAACTTATGGATGCAGCAAAAGCAGAACTAAGAGGGAAGTTTATACAAGAAAGATCTCAATTAAAAAGCTAATTTTACACCTCAAACAATTAGAAAATGAAGAACAAACTAAGCTAATCATTGTTTTCCAACACCCAACTCTCTTTTTTTAAGTTTCAAGTTTTTATTTACATTCCAGTTAGTTAACATATAGTGTAATATTAAGTTTCAGGTGTAGAATCTAATGATTCATCACTTACAACACCCAAGTCTATGTAAAAACCTAAATAATTACTCCTGGGTCTATCTCCACCTACTGACTTTTAATGTACTACCTGTTCTATTTATCCATGTATTTTCTTGTGTTTTTGTCCAAATATATGCAAATATCGGAAGAATGGTTAGATGTTAACATTTTTTAGCTTGCTTTCAATATATTTTTCATAGTGACCCTTCCTTATGACATTTTGAGTAAAGTTATTTTTTTCTTACCATTTCAGTCTTTCAAAAGAATAGCTTAAGTTTACATAAAAATTACAAATTTAGATTTTTCCAAGTACAGCCCTAAAAATTACATTAAGTGAGGAAAAAAATACCACTTTTAACCCCTCCAAGAATTTCATAATTTTAATGGACATAACCGTATCAACAGGAAAAAAAATAACAGTTGAACAACTGGTTCCCTTATTCAAAAAAACTTAAAATCTTAAACAAATTTACTTTTACTGATTGACTGAAAATATCTCTACAATGTCACCTGCAGTATTTTCTTTCTTTATAGGACAATCTTTGCTAAACATTAAATCCTACAGATTTATTCCCATTACCATAGATACTTAACAAGCAAAAGAGATAATGCTTTGTAAGCTTTTAAATAAAGCAGAAATGGGGGGAAAGTATTATGTGACAGGCTTTGTTTGTTTTCCTGTTAACCCATTAGAAAACAAAATACCATGAATTTCTTTTTTCCAACTCCAGTATGATTTAAGTCTTCAGGTAAAAAAAAAAAGAAAAGAAAAGAAAATGGACTTTGGTTCATCTGGTTTCCATCACTGTGAATCTCATTTCAAATTATAATGTTTACAAGTTACTTGACACCAATTATTCTCTCATCAAAATTCTTTACTTATTATTTCTGAGAATTTGACAAACACCTTTTTTTGATAATCAGAAATAATATATTTATCAGAAAAATCCAACTTATCCATAACTTAAGCCATTGCTAGTAAAGGTAAATTCAGGGTTTACCAGTCATTTCATTAGCCTTTAAAGAAACTATTTTTAATTTTTTATTTATTGTTTTCTTTTCTAACTGTGAAAGGCAAATAAAGCCATGCAAAATCTTAATTAAGACAAACAGAAAATCTGGCACTACTGTATTAGATTTGAAAACACTCTTTAGGAAGATAGCGACCAAAACCAAAACAAAAACAGGATAACTGTCATAGTCAATTCTCATCTATTCAGCCTGTGCTACCTAATACCTGAAAAAAAATTTTTTTTTAAAGATTTTATTTATTTTAGAGAGAGAGAGTGGGAAGGACAGAGGGAGAGATTCTCAAGCAGACTCCCCACTGAGCACAGAGCCTGCCAGAGGGCTCAATCTCACAACCCATGAGATCATGATCTGAACCAAAACCAAGAGTCGGACACTTAACCAACTGAACCACCCGGGCACCCCCTGCAAAAGATATTCTGACTCTAATATAACTGATGTTTATAACAGAAAAAGATGTTCAATAATAACTTTGATCTGTGTCTATGGCTTAATACTTTTTTTTTTTTTAAGATTTTATTTATTTATTTGACAGAGAGAGACACAGCGAGAGAGGGAACACAAGCAGGGGGCGTGGGAGAGTGAGAAGCAGGCTTTCCGCTGAGCAGGGAGCCCGATGCAGGGCTTGATCCCAGGACCCTGGGACCATGACCTGAGCCAAAGGCAGACGCTTAACAACTGAGCCACCCAGGCGCCCCTATGGCTTAATACTTTTAAGAAGTAATTTGTTATTTACTTTTTGCATAGATATGATAAATGGCTATTTACTTTTTGGTTCAGCTAATCAAAAACATGTCAGAATAAAATTTTGTCATTATAACAATCTAACTTCCTTACCAGGACTATCTCTCCTAATCCAAGCTGAGCACGGCCCAAAGTTTGCCAAGATTCCCATGAATGTGGATTTCTCTGGACAGCCATTTCAGCTGCATGTACTGCTGGGAACATTTCATGAAGAGACATTAGGACCTATAGCCAAAAAAAAGTAACAAAACCTGTCAGTAATATTCATAAACTAGCAAACTACTAATGAATAACCATATGTAAACTTTTCATTTTTAAAAAAATATTTTTAGTCTGGTAAATATAGCATCTCAGTGGTTCTGACCCACTCCTTCGCCATGCAGGGTCAGGAATGACTATTCTTCTTCCTATTTCTAAAATAACTATGAAAATGTAAACTATCCCCTTTTCAGTTATTGAACCCTGCTGTCCATCTGGTTAAAATAAGGTGGTCATGATCTAGCCATGGTGGCTCACAGGTATTTGAACTCTTAATTCCACTTCTGATTATTCTATTTACAATGTGGTTTTCAGGGGACCCCAGGTCTTTTTTTGCTCAACCACCCATCCTATGAACATCTTCCTGCTACAAAAATCATTTAAACACTCCACCAGCCTCCCCACAACTGCATTCTTCAAACCATACAAAGAGAAAAATAGGGAGTGCCAGAACCTACCACTTCAGTCTATGGGAAAGGGCTAGATTTTATCTATCATCTTTGGGACCATTCACATTTCACAAGATCTGTAACACAACTATCATTATCAGGTTACACATTAATTTATTTCATATAGTTTACCACAAACACTGTCTTTAATATATACGTAGTCAAGACTGAAAGTTAAAGACTTAACCAAATGAAGGTCTTCAACAACACTTCATTCAGCGGACAGAATTTATTTGGGGTTTTCTTGGATAAACTAAAATCAAAGCTGATAAAGAATGTCCCTTATGTTTGAGATCATCATCTGAAAGATATCAGTAAGGTGTGTAGATCAAGGCTGAATTGTAACTATTCCCTGTCAAAATATGTTTGATATTCCATTAGTGATTTTAAAGTCTTTTGGATAACTTAATCCAAGTGCTTAGAGATTTTCTTTATAGACTTTCCCACAAAATAACAGAAATGTATTTTTAAAAATTCAAGTGTTATTTTTAAACTATTAAAAATTTGAGTCTATTCTGACCTTTTGCTAAGGACTGGCCATTTTTAGAGAAATATCATCATTCAGAGTCCAAACATCCTTATTCTGAAGAAACAAAGCTATTGCTCAGTCCACTACAATTAATTTCCAAGGAAAGCAAACACATTTCATTTATTTAAGAAATCACCAGTGACTTCCTAAAAGATAGCCTTCTTTTCATACCTTACCATAGGTTAAAATAAGTTAACTTCATTGTGAAAATAAATGAATTTCTAATGTCATGCAAAAGGCAGAGCCATAAATAATATGGTGATAATATTTCACCCAGGGCCCACCAATAATAATAATATGGTAACATATTTAAGAAAGGAAATGTTGACAAATTTGAAAAAGACATATTCAACAAAGAAAATGGAAAGAAATGCCATTTTGGTTCATTACTGTTCACCAAACACATATGAACACAACACAGATTTCACAATGCAAATGAAATTCTTCATAATCATTACCTGCGATTTCATCTCATACAGGGTGGCATCATCTGGGGTTAACTGCAGTGCTTCATCCCATTTTTGAATTGCCTCTCGATATCTGTGGTTAAGTTACATTAACATCATATTTTTAGTAAGTCCTTGAAAGTACATGACCAAATTTTAAAATCAGGTACTAAGGAATAATTGTATATCAAGAAATAGCTCTATTCAAGAACTGACACTAATAATAATGTTACAAAAGCAAGAAAAATTCCAAAGGGAAAGGACAGCAAAAGAGAAAAAGACAAAAATAAATAAAAGAGATCTTAGAAATCTTTCCCCAATTTTACTTTCTGGGCTGAGAAATCACTACCAAAATTTCCCTTTTTCATCAACCTCAATGTCTGCAAATGTTGTCATACAAGTTAGAAGTACCACAAAGGACTTTTCTGAGGAATTTACAATCCAGTTGCAATCCTGGGCTCTACTGAAACAATCTAGCTGACACAGAACACTTTAAGAAGTTTAAGCCTGTTGATTGTGTAAAGACTCCAGTTTTCGGGCACAGGGGTGGCTCAGTTTGTTGAATGTCCAACTCTTGATTTCGGCTCAGGTCATGATCTCAAGGTCATGGGACTGAGCCCTGCATCAGTCCCTGCACTCAGCAAGGAGTCTGCTTGAGAATTCTCTCTCCCTCTGCCCCTCCACCCCCCGGCCCCCCAACTTGCACTTTCTCTAAAATAAATAGATAAATCTTGAAAAAAAAAAAGATTCTTGGGCGCCTGGGTGGCTCAGATGGTTGGGCGTCTGCCTTCGGCTCAAGTCATGATCTCAGGGTCCTGGGATCGAGTCCCGCATCGGGCTCCCTGCTCGGCAGGAAGCTGCTTCTCGCTCTGCCTCTCTCTCTCTCTCTGTCTCTCATGAATAAATAAATAAAATCTTTAAAAAAAAAAGATTCTTCAGTTTTAAGTTTCCTTGTCTGTAAATTCCATGAGCTCAGGAACTATAATATCTTTTCATCACTATTAATACATGGTAAGCTTATAAAAAATGGGTCAAATGAATGGAAAACAGTTTAGAGATGGTCATCTCCACTACCACCTTTCCACTGATGTCCTCCTAGTCAGGTTTTTCTTGTGAGCTCCAGAGCCATATGGTCAACTAACATCTCCACGAAGATACTTCAAACTCATTCTGCCTAAAACTGATCTTAGCACATCACATGCCAAATCTGCAGAAGCACTGCAGCACTTTCTTTTTTAAATAAAATTAAGGAATGACGAAGTCCTCCGTGTTATCTCAAGCAGGCATTTTCACAGCATCCTTCACAAGTGGTTAACTCATGTATACTTGAATATCTCTAGAAAGAGAAAGTTCTATTTACCAGAATATTTTCCATGATGATGAGCTGAAACTTTCTATTCTGTACCTTTCCCTCAGTGCTACTAATTCTGCTTTCTCAAGCTAAACGAAAATATGTAATCCACTAGTTTTGATTCTTGGCTACACCAGAATGATCTAGGGAGATTGTAGAAGTGAATCCCACACACACACACAGAGCTGGCCCTTGCCTCAGCTCAACTAAAACAGATATTCTCGGAGGAGGGCCCAGGCATCTGTATTTTTTGAACCAGGAAATGCTAATAAACACCAAGGTTGTGAACCATTGATAATATCTTTCAAAGCATATTAAGACCTATCATGTACAATCTTCTCTTGAATCACTCATTGTTACCTGTTTTCCAGACCCTTCATTTCCTCTGTATGTGTTCTTCTGCATAATTTCCTACTTGAATATGTGAAGATCCAAACCAAACACAACAACCAAAATGTGGGCCAATATGCACTGATTATTATTTAAACAGAGGACAGTGAAATAAAGAAATAAAGGCGACATTTGGGAGAAAATGCAACGTTGAAGAACATAAAAAAGTACATCCTGTTTTCACCTGACTAGACAGTTCCTTGACTAGCAAGGAATATGAATGGGCAGTTCCATTTCCAGGGGTCTCATGCCATCTTGGCAAATGACAAACTGGCTATAGACACCTGAAACTAAGTCTACCACAGAGCCAACTCCATGGCTAGCAGCAGGGTGAGGGTGAACATGGTGGGAGTGTGCTTTACACATCCTGCCTGAGGCCATGATAGGCCGTACTAGTGGCTATTGCTGCTTTGTAGTAGCCGGCTCTGTAGAGTTACACGCTTCAGATCCCCCCTGCAAAAGCTGAAAGTCTTTGCTTCCAGGCAAACCAATCCGAAAATGTAGACATGGCTATCAGAACTCCTGCCTAGACCACAGTTAATATCTTCTTCCCTAACAGGGGCCCCTGCTGAGCACTGAAAAGTTACCTGTTTGAACACTGTGTTTAATTCTGGGTGAAAGACTACTAGAATTTTAGGAACACCGTGTGACCATTATTCACTTCATTTTTATGATGTGCTACTACACTGCGGTGTTTCTCCCTGCTTCTGCCTGCATCAGAAATATTCTTTCTGGGGGAAGCCTAGGTGGCTCGGTGGCTCGGTCGGTTAAGCGTCTGCCTTCAGCTCAGGTCATGATCTCAGGGTCCTGGGATGGAGCCCCACATGGGGCTCCCTGCTCAGCGGGGAGTCTGCTTCTCCCTCTGCCATGCCCCCCTGTTCCTGCTCTCTCCCTAAAATAAATAAAATCTTTAAAAAAAAAAAAAAAGGAGGGCGCCTGGGTGGCTCAGTTGGTTAAGCGACTGCCTTCGGCTCAGGTCATGATCCTGGAGTCCCAGGATCGAGTCGCGCATCGGGCTCCCTGCTCGGCAGGGAGTCTGCTTCTCCCTCTGACCCTCCCCCCTCTCATGTGCTCTCTCTCATTCTCTCTCTCTCTCAAATAAATAAAATCTTTAAAAAATAAATAAATAAACAAAATAAAAGGAAAAAAAAGAAATATTCTTTTTTAAAAATTTTTAGGTAGTTAACATACAGTGCAATATTGGTTTCTGGAGTAGAATTCAGTGATTCATCACTTACATAGAACACCCAGTGCTCATCATAACAAGTGCCCTCCTTAATACCCATCACCCATTTCGTTTGCCCCACACCCCCCCTCAATTAACCCTCAGTTTGTTCTCTATCGCTGAGTTTCTTATGGCTTGTTTCCTTCTCTCCTTTTTCTTTTCCCCCTTCCCATACATTCATGTTTTCTTTCTTAAATTCCACATAGGAGTGAGATCATATGGTATTTGTTTTTCTGTGACTGACTTATTTCACTTAGCATAACACACTCTAGCTCCGTCAATGTCATTGCAAATGGCAAGATTTCATTCTGTTTGATGGCTGGGTAATATTCCATTGTGTGTGTGTGTGTGTGTATAAATATAAATAAAAATAGACAGATAGATAGATAGATAGATAGATAGATAGATAGATAGATATCACATCTTCTTTATCCATTCATCAGTCGATGGACATTTGGGTTCTCTCCACAGTTTGGCTATTGTTGATAATACTGCTATAAACATTGGGGTGCATGTAGCCCTTAGAATCTGTATTTTTGCCACAAATCAAACCTCTAAGAGCTTTGCCAATTGGAAATGATTTAGTTATCAAGGATTTTCCCCAACTCGAGCATCTGTCTAGAGCCAGGGTCCCCAAAGGGGAAAGTAATAGTGGAAACACGCAGTCTCACCGGCTGTTGTCAGTGCTCTTCCTCCATCTCACTCTCAGAGTTCCCTCTGGAGTGCTCCATACGTCTGCTTTCCACACATTCAGTCACTTCTGCACAGTGTCAGGCTATGCCCATTAGCGTGGCCCATACAGGAGTGAGTGGCTGGCACACAATTTTCCATACAAACTCTGTGCTCAGCAGGCAACAGACACGGGCTGGTTAAACCACTGTGTCCTGCTGCCGGCCCCTAGTTACCCTCAATGGGAATCTGAAACTCACAGTTATTTTTAGATAATTCATATGTCAATGTTAGCTAGAAACTGCCTAATGCACTTCAAAGTAAGCCATTTAAGGTATCTTTTCAGGTACCATCAAAATTCTTATTTATCAATTCCCTCTATTAAAACACCATCAACTGGGGCGCCTGGGTGACTCAGTCGGTTGAGCGTCGGACTCTGGATTCCAGCTCAGGTCATGATCTCAGGGTCATGAGAACGAGCCCTGCAGTCAGGGATTCTCTGTCTCCCTCTGCCCCTCCCCACCCTC